AAAAATTCAAGGACCAAGATTTTGAAGACAAAACTTAATTATGTTCCACAGTTATATGTCGTTCCAAAAATAAAACAGTAGATATAAAATGATTAATCTCAGAGAGAAGAGGGGTTTTTTGGTACCGGGGATTGAACTCGTGTCCTTAGCTTGTGAGGCAGGTGGTTGAACCACTGAGCTAAATCCCTAGCCCAAGAGAAGAGGGGTTTTAATGGCTCTTCTAGAATGAGCCAAGTCAAAGTGTCAAACACGAGGACTCTCAGCTTGCATGATGAATTTGATGAGGACTGGAGAAGTGACTCAGTGATAGAGCACTTGCGTAACATACGCAAGGCCTCCTTTCAAACCCCAGGACCAGAACGAGTAGCAGGGAATGGATGGTCAAAGTTCTAAGGACCTTTCACCAAATTCCCCCCCTACAGGCAGCAGGGATATAGGGGAAGACTAAAGGGTTGAGAATTACCTAAGATTTCTGGGGAACGTCTCAAGCCTTCAGAACACGTGAGTGTTGTATTTGTCTTGTGTCTTAGGAAGACCCCTCTGACTCTCCTACAGAGAATAGCATGGACGAGTGAGGAATTCAGTATAAAACCCTTGGGGGGGGGGGTGCAAAAATCCAGAGCCTGCATTAAACCAAAGTCCTCAAAGGAAACTAGAATACCAGACATCTTGGGGCATGCTGTTTTCTGCTCTGTTCCTCTCTTCTTCCTTCCCCTTTGTGAGTTTTTTGGTTTTGTTTTTCTTTTCTAATTAATTAATTTTATTGGTACAGTTTAGATATACACAATAATAACATCATATGGCTTCATTTGATTTTGAGGTAAAGTCTTGCTAAATTGCCCAAGCTGTTCTCAGACTTAAATCCTCCTGCCTCAGGTAGCTGCCCAGCTTGGAAGTAAATTTACCTGATATCTGATGGTAGAAAAAGAAACAGGAGAAGTGGCTGTGTTTGCCCATGTTTACTGCCAAGTCTGCCATGAGAGCAGGCACAGCACCTCAGGCAGCAGCCTGCCCCCAGATGAGAATAGTCCTAGGACTGAGGAACAGCAGCTGGAGGTTTTGTTTTGGTTTTTCGTACCAGGGAATGAACTCAGGACCTTGCACTTCTGAAACAGGCACAGCAGCGCTGAGCTAAATCGCTGGCCCTACCTGGAGGTTTTTGTGTCCACATGAAATTGAGAATAGCCTAGTCCCATAACCCAGATATGTACACATACAGAATACAGATGTTACTAGACCATGGGTCTCGACGAATAGTGTTTGCTGAAATAAAATTTCCAAAAGAATTAGTTGTGAAACAAATATTTATATTTCCACCAAAATACAAGCGCCTCAGAACTAGCAGGTGTGGCTGGAAAGATTCCTGCTGTGTCTGACCATCAATGGGACTGGAGCACCTGGAGGGGCAGGTGGGCTTCCTGTGAGAAAGGCTCTTCCTCGGGTTGAGTGGTCAGTCCAGGATTCTTCATGGTGCCTGTAAATGGGATGGGAAACAGAAAATCTGAGAATGCTGAAAAGCAGTAGACAAGGGTTAGATGCTCAGAGAATGCAGAGGTGATAAAGGACCTATCCTGTAGGGAAAGTGGCAGACTTGGACATCCAGAGGGAGGAGCAGGCAATGCCAGCAGAGACAAGAGCCAAGGGAAGCAGAAAAATAAGCACTACAGCCATGTGGACTGAGGTAGAGAAGGTGTAGGACAGCACATGGGCCTTTATCTCGGTACTGAGAGTGTGGAACTCCAGGCAGCAGGAGCTCTGGGCCTTGAAGAGCTTTTGTCTACACTAGTAGAAATGGAGTGGGATAAGCCTAAAGCAGAAAGATTTGTCTGAAGGTCAGGGGGAGCTGTGTATGGTGGCACATGCCTGTGATTCTAGCCCTCCAGAAGCTGAGGCAAGAGGATCCTTGTGAGTTTGAGGCCTACTTTGGTTCCATAGTGACTTCAAGGGCAGCCTAACCTACAGAATGGACCCTATCTCCACCACAAAAAAGCCTGGCATGGTGTCACATGCCTGTAATCCCAGCACTGGGGAGGCTGAGGCAGGAGGATTGCCAGGAATTGGAGGCCAGCCTGGACTATATAGTGAGTTCAAGGCCAGCCTGAACTATATAACAAAAAACCCTGTCTGAAACAAACAACAAAAAAAAAATGCTCACCACGGTGGCACACACCTGTCATCCCAGCACTTGGGAGGCTGAAGCAGGAGGATTGTTGCAAGTTGGAGGCCAGCCTGGACTACATAGAAGACCTTGCCTCAAAAACAAAAAAGCAAAGAAAACCTGAAGGTCAGGGTGCAAGCACCCTGCATTGAAAAGCAAAAGAAATGAAAGTCAGTGGCACAGGGGTGAGTGGCTGCTGCCTCCTAAATCCAGGCTATACAACACCAGGTGAGAAAGCCAATGGAGGGGTCTACAGAGAGCCTCCAGCCCTCCCAATTAAGTGCAGGGGGTGGGGTTACTACAGGTTACCTGGGAGGGCAGCCCAGGCATGGACAGCAGGCAGCGAAGTGTGGGGTTGAGGCATGGAATGCCTTGGGCAGGATGAAGGACAAGGTGACTTTCAGAGCCTTGGTATTGAAGTTGAAGTGAAGGGAGGGAGATACAAAGCAGGTACAAAGGGACCTTTTCATTGTGCGGGGTCCAGGGCTGGGAAACCAACAGGCTGTGAGCAGGAGTGGGCCAGTGGAGCCTCTTTCCCACAAGGCTCACAGGCCACTCAAGAGGCCCTTTTGGGCTGGGAAATTTAGGGGACACAGGCACAAGCAGGTGACATTCCTGAGGAAATAGTAGGAGAATGGAGAGGAAGACAGCCAATGGAACACAAAGTGAGAGCTCTTGAGGTTTCAGAAATAAAGTGTAGGCTGCCAGGAGTTTTGGCACACGCCTGTGATGCCATCACTCTGGAGCCTGAGGCAGGAGGAGCGCTGCAAGTTCAAGACCAGCCTGGGCTATATAGTGAGTTCAAGACCAGACTAAACTGCAGAGTGAGACCCTGTCTCAAAAAGAAAAAAAAGGGTGAGGGGATAGGCTGCAGAGAGGGGCCTAATCCTTGGAATAGGTACAGGAGGTGGAAGGAAGCAGTAGGTCTTGATGGAGGCCACTGGTTGGGAACAGGAAGGGCATCCTGTGCTAAAATGGAGAAGACACAAGACACAGAGAGGAGGAGAGCCAATAAGAAGGGGCTTCTGCAGGATGTGAAGGGGCTGTGGCCTGGTGTGATGGGGAAAGCTTAGGATCAACCAGGCTGGCCTATAAGGCAGTGCCCTCAGGGCCCAAAGAGCGGCCACCTGTTTGAGGGCCAGGTAAGAAGCCTTTCCTAACTTGCTCCTCTGCTGGGTCCCCAGGCTCAGCCCAAATCAGACAGTGGGTGGGTCCTGAGTAGGCCATTTGGGTTGGTTGACTTCAGCCCAGACAGGAGAAACTGAGATGAAGAGGCCAGAAGAGAGGCCTCCTCCTCCCCCAGACTGACCAAGACCATGTGACCCAGCAGACACCCAGCAGCTACTCACCAGGAATGCCTTCCCCTGTGGGGTCCTCACACACTGTGGGCAGCATCTGCTCCCATGCAGCCCAGTTTACTTCCTCCACCCTGTGGATAAGGAAGCAGCTCTGAAGCCCTGGGAAGCCAGCAGCCCAGCCTACCTTGCCCCAGAGAGAGACCAGGCCTCTTCCCAAGTCAGTGAACGATGCAGATGCTCTAGTAGACACAGGGACGGGGGAGATGGGATTTCTCTGCCCTGCCCTGTGGGCACTGGGCCTCCTACCGGGAACCCCTTGCCTCTGGGCTCTTCACAGTAGCCTGGGTTGCCCAGAGCAACCAGAGAAGGATTGAGATCAGACCCACCCTGGTGCTCTGGGTATGGGGGACCTTTAGTGCCTGTTCATCATGCACAGAACCCTCATTCTCTCTCCCTGCTCGACTGCATCCCCATAACACTGCTGCTGGCTGTGTTTCTCACCAGGATCCCTCTCCTAGCACCCAGCTTTTCCTGACCATGGAAGGGGTTATACCTTTAAAATCAGGCTGGGAGAATTGGCAGTGGGAGTGCATCCAGGGCCAGGCCACTAGGAGGAGGCAGAGATCACCAGGGAGGAGCCTTCACTTCAAGCCACTCAGATGGGCAGATGGCCAGACCCACAGGCAGTTCGGCCATGGGCTGTGCAAATCAGCATCCCTACCCTCACTTGCCTGGGTGGATTTCCCTGGCACTCCTCAACCTTGCCTCTCCCACAGACCTGGCTCCAGGCAGCCATCCCCTAGCTTTCTGGAGACCAAAGCTGGCCTGCACTGTGGACAGGCTGCAGGGATTCCTGAGTCAGCAAGGCCCCTGCCCTCTCCTGCCCTCTCGCTCACCTGAAGCACCAGCGCTCGTCAGGCCTTCCGTCTGGCCTAGTGCCCACTGTCAGGAGAACCCCTGACCGTTGCTTCTTCCTCCTGCACCACCAGTAGCCATTTTCCATCTCCAAGACACAGATGGCTTTCTGAGGATAAAGGATGCATCAGACAGAGCAGCCCAGGACCCTGCCTGAAGGAAGAGGCACATGGGACAAGGGCAACAAGAAAATACCCAACAGTAGTCCACAGTGTAATCCAAAGTCAGCTAAGGATGTGGATTCAAGTCCCGCACCAACATCTGATTATCTGTGTGGTATGGGGCCCTAACTCTCTCCAAATTCCAGTTTCCCTCTTTGTAGACCTAGGATATTACAACTCAAATGGTTGTTGGCAAGTCAGCGTGCAACAGAAGCTGGACAGTGACTTGCTCTTACAGCATTTCAGGCCCCCACATTCCATACTATCTGGTATAGAACTCCGTCGGCTCTACCCTGCACATATGCCTGCCACTCGCAGACAGACAAGTCACAGGAAGCACACTGTTTCCAGATGAGGGAACCAAGGCTCAAAGAAGACAAGAGGATGGCTGTAGGCACCAAGGAGTTGGCCGCAGAGTCCAGCCCCTGCTCCAACTGCCCAGGAACCACCTGATCCTTCTTTGGGCAAGACCAAGCTATTGCATGCACTGTAGGTGGGTGTCAGATCAGTGTCCCAGGTGCCCCAGGCTGGGCCAGCCCTATGATTTTACACCCTGACTACCTTCCTCACCAAATGGGACCTATGTTAAATATGAGGATAGACTTGGCGCTTCTTGAGGACACAGACAGGCTTTATCTTGTGCAGCCCCAAACACTGTTGCTGGATGAACCACAAAAGGCACTCAAGAAACGTGATGCCAAGCACGGTGACAGGTGCCTGTAATCCTAGCTTCTCCAGGGGCTGAGGCAGGAGGATTGCAAGTTCAAGGCCAGCTATGGCAATGTAGTGAGACCCTGTCTCAAAATGAAAAGCAAAAAGACCTGAGATGCAGCTCAGCACTCCCTGGGTTCAATCCCCAGTACCATCAAAAAAAGGAAAGAAAAAAACAGAAGAAGGAGAAGAAGAAATACTTGACATTAGTGATGCTAATGATAAAAATAACTAACACAGTGCACACCT